AATTATACAGATAGAGCCCTGTTTGATTTAATAGCCAACAGTTTTAGTCAAGGGTATTGGAAGGTTATAATAAAGGTGTTGATCATGCATATTATTATTATTTGTCACATGTTTGGTAAAATTATGACAGTGATAGCTTGTGATGGTTTATGATTACTAATGATAGCTTGTGATGGCTTGAGTTATGATTGAATGTGATTAAGATCTTAATACATGTTTTTTGCACATTTTGTACATTTTACAATCAACTGACTTATATTTGTATAAAATAGATGTACTTGGGCTACTAAGTAATTATACTCACCCTTTTCTTAAACATTTTAGAAGCACTAGTATAGCTCAAGTCAAAGTAGAAGTATTAGAGGCTTAGGAATAGTGTTTCCTATAATTGCATGCCTCCAATTATGTAATTAAATTGATAATGCCAATTAGAAAATTCATATTTTGAGTATTACTTATACTATTGATATTGATGTTGATTTGTGTATTTTGGACCCTTGGGTCTGTATATTGAAATTCAATATTTTTAGATAGGGCTAAAATACTAGTGCAAGTAAGAAATTGGCTATATGCATGATTGTATTGAATTATATTGAGTTATGATGTGAAAATGTCTCCAACTTTTGTTTTTGTGATTAAGAGGTTGAGAGTTGATTTTATGATAAATGTAATATATGTAATTGGGGTGTGTTGCACAAGTTGTTTTGAGTCCATTGTGTGTGGTTTAGGTGTTGGGTTGCATTTACGGCATTTGGTTGGAAGTATGCGAAAATATGCTAGTTTACAAATAGGTGTTCAACTTTTGATTGGGGTATAGTTTGGAAATGATACTAGTGTCACTGGTTAGTATTTGTAAAGGGCTTTTTATAGACATTTAGATCACCCCGATCAGAATGATTTGTATTGATTTGTATAAATTTTAATTGATTTAACATTGTTTTGTTTGTTGAAAACTTGAGATCCCAACTTAATCTCTTTTATGATTCATTTATCTCAACTAAGATTAACTTGTTGTATATGAGTTAAGGTAATTTGTTTAAGTTAATCCTATGATTATCATGGTGTTTTAGCTAAGTGTTGGGGTAATAAGGTGAATCTTATAGCTTACAATCACTACAATATTTTTGTCTTTTAATAACAGTTCAAAATTGTAGCTAAAGGTATGAACACTATTGCAAAAACCTAAAGGCAACATTTGTTAACTTGTACCTATTCTAGTGTTACCTATTATAAAAGGCAACAGTTGTCACACTCTATTATCACACATTTAAAAAATGGTTGCTTATATTTTAGGAAAAAACAACAATTTTTATATCAACATATTACAACAGTTCTAAAATGCTTTATATCATATTTTTATAGACAATACTAAAGAACTGTTGTGTATATATAAAATGGAAAAATTTTAAAATTTCTGTCCACACCTAGAATTTGACCCCTATACCTTAAAAAATCAAGGAATAACTCTTAACACTTTTTCAAAGCCATTATGAAATCATTTGATGCAAATTATTTTATATGGATAATTCTTAAAGTTATTTTTTAATTTAAATAATTAATAATTTAATAAATCAATCAATTAATTATTTAATTAATGAATGTATAACAAAAAAATTGAAAGTTTAAAAGTGAATTTTTTGTATGTATAAAAATACAATTCACAACGGGCAAAATTTCTATAATTATTGTCTACTAGAAGAGGAAACAATTTTTAAATGTTATGAAAAAAGTCATTTTTTAAGCAACAATTCTAATGTTGCCTATATGAAAAATGCAATTCAACAATTTAAAAGTATTGCCTATTCTATGTTTGGCAACATTTTTCAAGTATTATTAAATATATATTGCTTAAAGTAGTAATCAATTGCAACACTTAAAAAAATGTTGTTTATTTACACATAAGGCAACACCTTCAAAACAACAAAGCAAAATGTTGCTAGAAGCAAAAAAAATGTTGTAGTGAATGGAATTAATTGTTTTTATTAATTATTGTTGAATAACAATAATATCTTGGAGATGTTGAAGGTAACTTGGAAAGAAACTTTTCTTATATTTATTTATTTGTTTACAATATTAAACCAAAAAGATGTGCCTCCTCCTCCACATTCTTCTTTTGTTACATTGTCAATTACATTATATTTATTTCAAAGAATACATGCATGCAAATAGAAAGGAAAGGAGTATTATGCTTCTTATTGGAGCAAGAGATATGTCCATTGCAATGTTAAGTATAAGTTGACTTGATGTGATATGAGAAAAAAGTCTCACATAAGATATAGTTCGGCTAGAGAGGAGATATATAAATAAAAAAGACTCATAAACTTAACGTCTTAAGTTATTAGGTTAAAATATAGTGTCATATTAACTTATGTGTCTTCTTGTAATTGTTGGGTAGCCCAACTGTATTCTCTTCTCTTTCAGAATGCTCCCCAGCCCAACAATTTCTAGTAATAAGAATTAGCAAAAGGTATGAAAAAATGGACAAGTATAAGAGAATGACACTAAATGCAATATTCCCCATAATTTTTACTTGGTTGCAACTATAATTTTAATTTGATTGTAGTTCAGTTCCTAAATTGTAACTCATTGCAACTTAATTTTTGTGGATTTAGTAATTTAAAGTAGTAGCCCCAGAATTAGTTTCAAGAAACAAACTTAGTCCTTATAATTTATTTTTTAAAAAATACAAAAACTAATATTTTAAATAGTTAAAACTATAAATATTAAGTTGTATCAAATTAAAATTTAAAGATTGAGTTATAGTTAACTAAAAACTATAAGAATTGAATTATATTAAGTTAAATATTACATCAAGGATTGAGTAATAACCAAATTAAATCAACAGAGACCAGATAATTAATTTCTCCATATAAATATTTTAATATAAATTTTTTAAATTTTTATTAAATATGATAATTTTTAAGTAAATGAGGACGTGGGAGTTATTTTTTTATTTCAAAATATTTTTTCATATTTAAATTACTTGTGTGGATCTTGAGAGTGATTTATTTTATTTTATTTTTTAAACAGTATTAAAATTAAAAGAGAATTATACATAAATAAATAGAGTAAATGTTGCGTATTTAATTTGCAACAGGCCAAATAAATCGCACTTTCTTTTGTTTTTGTTTTTTTTTTTTTGGATCTATTAACATACAAACTTCCTGTATACGTTGACGATTGTAATTGAACCACACCGCGCGTTTGCATACGTTGCTCGTCAACATGAGCACCGCGTAGTTGTTTGGCTGATTCGGGCCTTTCATTTTATTTTAAAATGATTTCAACCATTTATTTTTAATAAATTTTTAAATATTTATAATATTATATTTATAAAAATCTAAAGAATTCTTTTAATCCTCTAACTTTTATATAAAATTTTAATTTAATCCTTTAATTTTATAAAATATTTTTTAGTTTTTTAATTTTAATATTGTTAGTTTTAAATGATTATTTTTTGTATTAATCATTGGTATTTTGAAAAAACTAAACTTAATATAGCAATATTTGAGAATGTTTTATCAATATTTGAAAGTTCAATGTAAAAATTTATTAAGATAAAACTAATAGCGTTAGGATTAAAGGATTAAAAAAATACTTTATAAAATTAAGAGATTAAAATAAAATATTGTATAAAATTAAAAGACTAACTGTATACTTTAATATTGTAAAAATAAAAATTATAAAAAATTTAATATCAAAACTAAATTGTTTTTGAAGTTCATCTATTGCTTATTACTCATGACGAGATTATTTAAGTTTAAAATTTTTTTATTTTATTTTTATCAATTTTTTTTAATAAACATCAGTTCATCATTAATCAAACTAGTACAAACTTAGTTTGGAATGACGAATTTCATATTAAATTTTTAAAATTTTATAAATTGACTATTCTGATATATTTTGGATGATACATATATAATTTGAGTGATTTAATTTAATATTAAAATTTTTATAATTTTTACAAATGACTATCTAGATGTACTCTAGACAATAAAAATTTAATATTAATTTTTTTCAACAATTTCTATAAATTTTTATTTTAATAAATAAAATATTAAAAATATCAAAAATTTATTTAAAATGAATGATAAAGATTATTTTAAGATAAAATGAAAGGCCCAGATCAACCAAATGGGTGATGAGCATAGCGCCAAATGCAAACGCACCACATAATAGTTTTTAGGTTACAATGAAGTTGCTTAAAATGGAAAGCTTGTAGCTTGTTGGTTAGACTACTGCACACTCAGCCTCCAGATTGCAAGTTCGAATTGGCAGACAAAAAATAAAATAAAATATTAAAAATATAATAAAGTCCCACGAAATGTTAAAACTTAGCTTAAAGTATTCCCTAGTCTTTTAATGTAAATATTTTTATACTAAATTTTCAAGATTTCTTTATATTATTATATATTAAAAAAGCCTAACTATCCACTGCCAGCGATCCATTCTGAAGTTTCAACGCCCATCGAGACACGCAGGCCATCGTTGGAGCTCCGGTGATGATGGGGATTGATTTTAATATATAATAATATAATAGTATTTTAATAATTAAGTACAAATACAAATTTACGTTGAAGAGACTTGAAATTTTGAAGATATTCTAGCATTTCCTCATTCGAGAGACTTATTCATTTTGTTAGTGGAGTTTTATAGTAACTCTCCCTAATTTATATATATATATATAAGCTAAAAATATAATACCGGTCCCCTTTCATTACTAAAAAAATGAAATAAAATAGATTAAAAAAATTAAAAAAAAATAAATTTAATCACCTTTTTTTTCATAAATAAAACTTATTAATACATATTATAAATGTGATAAGTATCACACCTTTTAAAAAATTTATAAATCATAATTCTTAATGTCATAAATTAAATTATCTTTCACTTATTTTTTTTTTATCATCTTATTTTTACTTTTAAATTTTCAATCCATTTCTTTCTACTAAGCAGCCGGAACCATAAAATAATAATATCAGTATCCCTCAGTTCGGTGTATAAATAACCAGACGATGAGGCATGAACAAGCTCATACTCCCACGGCTCTTGGTAGCCAAGAAATCAGTGAGATAAGAGACTCACATACGCACACTCTCTTACTAACTAGGCACAACAGAGAGAGAGAGAGAGAGATGGGTTCGATATGGGAATCGAAGCCTCACGCCGTGATGATTCCATATCCAGCTCAAGGGCATGTGAACCCAATGATGAAGCTAGCCAAGATTCTTCACTCAAGAGGCTTCCACATCACCTTCGTCAACTCTGAGTTCAACCACAAGCGCCTCCTCCGTAGCAGAGGTCCTCACGCCGTCGACGGCCTCCCGGACTTCCGTTACGAGACCATCCCCGACGGCCTCCCTCCCTCCGACGCCGACGCCACCCAGCACATCCCTTCTCTCTGCAAGTCCACCAGCACCACTTGCTTCGACCCCTTTCTCAATCTTCTGCGTCGCCTTCAGACCTACGCCTCCGCCTGCCACGTCCCTCCGGTCACCTGTGTTGTCTCCGACGGCGTCATGACCTTTGCCGTCAAAGCTGCCAATGTTCTGGGAATTCCCAGTGTGTTGTTTTGGACTGCAAGTGCATGTGGCTTTGTTGGGTATGCCCAGTATCGCTATCTGGTTGATCAAGGCCTCGTTCCACTTAAAGGTACTTAATTTATTTTAACCTTTTTGCTAATTTCGGACTCGATGATGGGAGAAAAGTAGTTGAGATTCCAGATCTAAGGTACAACAACAGGTCATGTGAGTACGTTATAACCGGGGGCGGGGGGGATTAATGAATGAGTCACACATCACACATATGTTGGAGAATTGTTGATTTGTTAGTGTCTCATGCCAGTTTTCATCACGTGGGACTAGGACAATTCATTTGTCTGTCCTTGGAAAATTAGGTCAATCTTACAGTGAATTACAACATGTGAGATGCTCAGATTTAAATTTAATATCGTTTTATTTTATTTTTTTGTTTTTAAAATATTCTCTCCATTTCGAAAATAGAGCATGTTTAATTTAAAGTTTTATATTTTAATATATAAAACACTCCACAAAATTTTCAGACCACTTATTTTTTTTTTTCCACTTAAAATGTTGCTAACAGCAATGCTATTAAAAAATTCTATCTGGGCCAGTTCTAGTGTTCCCTCATAAAATATCTTTTTCATGATACTCTGGGACGTTTTAACAATTGCTTAATTTTCAAATTTATGAGCAGATGAGAGTGATATAACAAATGGATTCTTGGAGACCAAGGTGGATTGGGTCCCAGGAATCGACAACCTGAGATTACGGGACATCCCAAGCTTCATCAGAACCACAGACCCAGACGACATCATGCTCAACTACTTCATCGGAGAAGTCGAAACAGCTCACAAAGCTTCCATCATCGTCATCAACACCTTCGACGAATTCGAACAACGCCCTCTGCAATATCTCTCCTCCGTCTACGCTCCTCCGATCTTCACCGTCGGTCCTCTCCCTCTCATCCTAGAACAAACCCCTCAGAACCACCACAAGCTCATGTCATCCATCGGTTCTAACCTCTGGAAAGAAGACACTCACTGCCTCCCATGGCTCGATTCTCAGGAACCCGGCTCCGTCTTCTACGTAAACTACGGCAGCATCACCACCATGACCTCTGACGAGCTCGCCGAGTTCGCGTGGGGCCTCGCCGACAGCAAGTGCCGTTTCCTGTGGGTGGTCCGACCGGACCTCGTCGACGAGGGCGGGTCGGTGATATCCTCAGATGAGTTTAGGGAAGAGACTGAGGGAAGAGGGCTCATAGTGAGCTGGTGCTCGCAGGAGGAGGTGCTGAACCACCCAGCGGTCGGAGGGTTTCTGACGCATTGCGGATGGAACTCCACGACAGAGAGTGTCTGCGCCGGGAAGCCGGTGGTTTGCTGGCCGTTTTTCGCGGAGCAACAGACGAACTGTCGGTATGCGTGTGTGGAATGGGGGACGGGGATGGAGGTGGGGCCGGTGGTGAAGAGGGACGAGGTGAGGAGGATGGTGGTGGAGGTGATGGAGGGGTCGTCGGAGAAGGGTAAGGAGATGAAGCAGAAGGCTTTGGAGTGGAAGAGGAAGGCAGAGGAAGCCACTATGCCCGGTGGTTCTTCTCATCGGAATCTAGAAAAGGTGCTTGAGTTTGTGCTCAGGAACTTCAGGCCGACTTAAGGGAGTGTTTGTTTGTAACGTAACTTTTTACTTGAATTATTTGGCTCTCCAGGTTTTTCAATCCTAACTTGTTCAAGTGTTCACAAATTTGGCTTGTGTTTGTTGTACTTGTGGATCATTTTATCTGGAGAGAATATTACAAACATGTTAATGACTTTATGTCATGTTGGTATCTTTGAATAAGAAGTTACGTTATATTTTTGTTTCTCAGTTTCCCATATCAGATTTGTTGGATTTTACGGATCCGTATTTGATGGAATTCAGATCATTATGTCAGATCAGAGGAGGTTTGACAGTTTGAAAATTGTAAGAGTTAACTAGAATCATGAATTAACAATAGATTGATTTTTGATTGAATTTCAAAATAGGAAATGATTCCTATGCAATTAATATAATTATTCCATTCAGTTATTTTTACCATTATGAGATGGATTAATATTGATTGAATTCTTATACAATTAATATAATTATTCCATTCAGTTATTTTTACCATTACGAGACGAATTAATATTGATTAAATTTTTTTTTTCCATCAATCTCCCCATGCTATAAACCAAGGTGGGTGATTGAGGGAAAAACTCACCCCCGAGGCTCAGGGCAAATAGTTCTCCCTCAATATTCATTCTTCCTCTCTTTCCGTGTATCTGCTATACAACTTAGCTTAAATTCTAATAGTCTAATCTCTTGTAAGTAGTTGGGTAAATTTTGTTATGTTCAGATATAGCAAGACCTTGGATCAACTCTGATTTTTTTGGTATATTATAGATGTTTAATATTCCTTCAAGATTTGATCGATTAGGCATTGCCATGGAAACTCCAAATTAATGTGTTAAAACTCAAGTTGGACTAGCTAGCAGTCGAATGAATGATATTATAATTAAATAAAAATAATATTATATATATAATGAATAAGTAATCAAATTTATTATTAATAAAAAGCCATTACATTTCCATGAATTGTTATAATTAAATTGATATATTTTAATTTATATTAATTATTTAATACAAAAAATAACAATTGAAAATAAAAATAGTATTTTTTTCAAACAAAATAAATTTTAATTGGTTGGCAACCAAACAATGTTTCGACTGTCCGTGTTAGTATGATCATAGAAACACTAAGGCTGGCTGGCTCTTTGCTCATCCCTCTATATATGTACTCCCTCTTGTTTAAATTATAAAATACTTTTAACCATATTTTATATATTAATAAAAGTTTTTTTTTTACCTGCATGAAAAAATAATGTCACTTTTTGCCCCAAACCTCTTTGTCATGAAAAGTGAGTAGAAGTGTTTAATTAGTCATGCTCATATCATATTTCTCATATCATTATTAAAAAAATGTAAATTAACAAGGAAATTTAGTGAGGGATCATTTGTTCCTCTCTAAAATATTAAATTAGTAAGAAAATTAGTGACGAATGTTAATTTCATAGCTTGATTTAAAATTAGCAAGGAAAATAGTGAGAGACTGTCAATCCCTCTCTAAAATAAAAGAATTAACGAGAAAAATAGCGAGGGACTACCAATCTCTCTTTAAAAATAAGAGAATTAGTGAGAAAAATAATGAGAGGCTATCAATCATTCTCTAAAATCAGACAACTAGCGAGAAAAATAGTGAGAAATGTCAATCCCTCTCTAAAATAAAATAATTAGCTAAGGATTCCATCCCTATCTAATTACTGTAAAAAAAATTTAACTTTTGGTAATGATTTTTAATTATATATTTAATTATTTCTTTTAAAAATAAAAATTAAATTTAGAAATTAACTAAAATATTCATAATAAAATTATTTAATATTTTTTATTTTAATTTTATTTTCATGAATACAATAATATTTTATTAAAAATATAATATAAAGAATAATTTAAATAAAATATAAGTATTTTTAACATATTAATAATTGAAAATAAAATGTAATGTGTGTGTGTGTGTAATTTTATAATATATTATTTGATATATTTATATAGTTAAATAATATATAATTAATTTTTACATATAATGACTGCAGGTGCCTTTTACTTTAACTAACAAAAAAGGAGAGTATAAAGTTTGAAATGTATGAAGTTAAGGGTTCAAGTTTTAATTTTGATATAAATATAATGAATATATGACATAATAAGAAGCAACTGACATGACGTAAGGTGAACAATAACATGTCATGAGTATCACATATGTGGTGGATAATAAGGCATCAGATTGTTAGTGACATATCACAAAATGACGAATGACGAATGATGTGGCTTTACTATTCATAAATATTGGAATATTAAGGGAGGAATTTGCTAAATCACTCACTAATTAATGAGAGAAATGATCTCTCGCTAAATTTAATGAACTTTTTTTTAGTTACGAATTTAATGAGAGATAAAATTCCTCATTAAAACATAGTTTAGTTAGGAAAAATGGTATTTAATTTATTGCTAAATTTAATTTTTTTAATAGTGTATTCACATTAATTAATAAATACAAGGATAAATCTAGAGAAAAGTTTTTTTAAAAGTACTATATAAGTTTCTTATATTTTGACTAAGCTTATTTGAAGAAATTTCTTATAATTTGGAGAAGAAAATGTAGAGTATAATATTAGTTTTTCCTGCAATATCTTAGAGTTTGAAGAGTGGGATCAATTTGGCCTGTTATCAGGGAATGGGATCCAATCAATAATAATAATAAAAAAAAAAGCGCGTTCTTCAAGAAACAGTATTAAATTCACATGCGTATATATTGTATTCTGACCATTCCGATTTTATCACACAGCCGACTATATTGACTTAGGGAGAAGACAAAACGAAGCACGTGGTCCAACCTTCTCGGATCTCTCGGGCTTTAATTCACTAGATTTTTAAACCTTGCAGCGCACATAATATTAATTTATCCAATTCAGGGGACATGGAAGGGAGGGAAGAACAATTTTAATAAATTTATTTAAAAAAAAGACAATTAATTTGTAACTCTCTCTCACTGCTAGAAAAAATATATTTGAAAGCACATCTTTCAAAACACTTATAAAAAAAGCGTTATTAAAAATGAAGGCGAGATCTATAGGAACACTTACTTAATTAAGTGTTCTGATAGAGCATTATTTAAGAGCGCTCATAAATAAAAATTTTAAAAAATATTTTTTTAAAAAAAAAACTTAACCTTAAGGAGTGCTCTAAAAAAGAATGCTTTAGAATTACATATAAAAAATTTTTTATTTTAAAAAACAAACCTTTAGGAGCGCTTTCTTTTTTAATGCTCCTAAATGGGATAGCATTTTAGAGCACTCTTTTATAGCGTTCCAAAATAATTTAATAAAAAATTTTAAAAAACATAACTCATGAGCACTCTTTGAGGTATATCATTTTGAAACACTCTTTTATAGAGCGTTATAAAATATTTTATCAAAAAATTTTAAAAAGTTAACTCAAACCTTTAGAAACGCTCTCTTTTTGAACGCTTTTAAAAAAAATATTATTTCAAAATGCTTTTTTATACAGCACTTCAAAATAATTTTAAAAAAAATTACCAACACCTTTTGGAGCGCTCACTGTGAGCGCTACTAAAAGTTAAGTGTTTAGGAGTGCTCATAATTTGAGCACTCTGAAAGGGTTATGAAAAAAAAAAAAACAACTTCATGTCCATTTAATCGATCTAGCCACACCTTCAGTTTTGCTTGTTTCCTTCTCACAATTGTGATTGTCGATTTGTCAAAATCTGTCCAAATCTGTCAGACTCAACAATTTTTCGATAGCCGTTGCATGCTTCGCCGTCCACGCCGCCAAGACACCACCGATGTGTCCAAATCTGTTGAACTTTTCGATCCGTCTCACTCACCAAAACTCGCAGATTTGCCCATGCCGCCTCATCGCTGCTCTTGCCAATTGACGTCGCTGCTTCATGCCGCCTCGCCACTTTTCTCACCAGTTGACACCACTGCTCTTCGTTGCCCCTTGCCATTGCACTTCACCTTGCCTCGCCACTAGCAGATCTGAATATCTCCTACATTCAGGTTTTTCTAAATAAATAATTATATATAAATATTACATATATGTGTGTTATATGAATAATTTAGGGATTAATAATATATAGATAAACTTCGTTGATAATTTTTTTTGTGTGGCATTAGTCTCATATTAGTTAATCTTTATCTTGAAATTTTTTTGTTTGGCTGTGATAATAATACACAATTATAGTTGTAATAATAACACATACTTATACACTAAATTTGATGTGATAATGACAATTGAAGCTAAGTGTGATAATAGTAATTTATAATTATGGTTAATTTTTCTATGACAATATATTACTCTCATTTCACTTTTAGTTTATTTTGAAATTGAATGTAGTTACTATTGAAGACTAAGAGGTTGAAATTTAAGAGAAAAAACTCTTACTTTAATTTTTTTTTTTGGTTGTATTTGTTAAACATTCTATTATACTTATATTGGTATTCTTTGTTTGATACTATAATTGTATTAGGCTAATAGATAAATTATAGATAAATTACAATATTGTTTGATGAATTTTAGTTACATTATACTTTAACATTTTTATCTGGATGAATTGATATGTTATATTATTATATTTGATTATCTAGGATGTTTCACTTTCAGGGGGGATTTTGTCAAATTTTTTTTAAATTCTAAGTCTTTGTTTCTTCAATTTCAATGACTATATTAGTGATATGGATTGTAAGTGGATGTTGGCTAATCGACTATTTAGAGAATATTGGGATGGTGTTGATGAGTTCATTGAGTTTGTATTTTATCGTGATCAAGACTCTCGTGGAGCCATATGTCTTTGTTTAAAATGTTTCTATAGAAAAAGAGTAAGGCCAATCAAATTGAAAGATCATTTGATATGCGATGAGATTGATCCAACTTATACTTGTTAGAGCATGTATGGGAAGACAAGGAATAATGCAAATGATTGGAGGGATAGTGCAAGCTACTCAGCATTTGATAGTGATAATCGGACATATGATGTTGATTGTCTTGATAAATTGATTGATATAATCGAAGAGGATCTTAGGGACTATCTTGAGGTGTTTGAGAAATTAAAGAGTGATGCTGATAAACCATTATACCCCGATTGTAAGAAATTCACAAAACTATTAGTTGTTTTGAAATTATACAACCTAAAAGCAATGAATGGATAGAGCAATAAGAGTTTCACAGATTTACTTGAACTATTATATGAGATGTTGTCGAAGTATAACG